ATGGACTCGAAGAGGCAGGAATATCACTTTCCAGGATTGCTTTGGTTTCGGTTGATGGAGCAGTGTTGCGGACGTAATAGTCATCGAATTTGACGTCGAAGCTTTCGACTATTAGTCTTGTGCGTCTAATGAGAACCCTATAGGCTACCTTGTTTGTTGAGTAGCCAAGAAAGATGCCTTCATCAGACTTTGGTGCAAATTTTTTAAGATGATCTTTGTTGTTGATCACAAAACATCTACACCCAAAGATGTGGAAGAATCAGACATTTGGTTTTCGGTTGTTAAGGCCCTCATATGGAGTTTTGTTGAGATGCTTGCACACAATGCTTCGGTTTTGCACAAAGCATGTTGTGGCCACTGCTTCGGCCCAGAAGTAAAGAGGAAGATTGGCAAAGTTGAGCATGGATCTGGCTGCTTCCACCAGAGTTTGGTTTCTTCGCTCTACTACTCCATTCTGCTGCGGTGTGTAAGGAGCTGAGAAATTGTGACTGATACCCTTAGAAACCAAGAAACTGTTTAAGAGATGATTGGTAAACTCGGTTCCATTATCACTGCAGATACGACGTACTGGCAACTTGATCTGAAGTTCGATCTCCTTGATAAAGTTGATCAACACATGCGGTGTTTCTGACTTGAGTCTTAGAAAGAAAACCCACGTGAAACGAGTAAAATCATCCACTATAACCAGTATATATTTCTTGTGATGAAGACTGGCTACGGTAGATGGATCGCAGAGATCAATATGTAAAAGTTCCAGTGGTTCAGAAATTGAAGAATCAATCACCATAGGATGACTTGCTTTGGACTGTTTGCCACATTCACAGGCTGGGCAGAGGGTATCATTGTGATATTTCAGAATGGGGAGACCTCGGACGAGTTCCCCTGTGACGATATTATTGATATAGCGAAAGTTGAGATGAGCTAGCTTGCGATGCCATAGCCAGCTAACTTCTGACACTGCTTTGGATAGGAAGCATAGCTGCGGTTTCCCTATGATCAGAGAGACATCCAAAGGATACATGGTACCTTCGGATTTGGATTTGATCAAGCAAGTACTTCTATCACTTGTCATTACATAACAGAATTCACTATCAAATTCAACTCGATGGCCTGCCTTACATAGTTGGCCAACACTGATGAGATTAGGTTTAAGACCTTCCACATAAGCAACCTTTTGGATGGAGAAATTCCTAGTAGTAAGAACACCATAACCTCGGATTATCCCATTCACGTTGTTGCCGAATGTAAATTTTCCATCGTTGCAAATTGGCCTGAAATCCCGAAGGTACTCCAACCTTCCGGTCATGTGCAAGGAGCAGGCACTGTCGATTAACCATTCTTTTTCTTGTTCCTCCTTGCACATAGCCTGAGAATTACACGGTTAGTTTGGGCATCCAAATGAGTTTGGAGCCTGGGACAATGGATGTTTTTTTAATTAATGCATGAACCAAGGTTGCAGGGACAAGTTTCGTGTCAACTTTTAGGCCTAGCCCTGGGTATTTGTGAATTATTACAGTGTAGTGAGATTTAGAAAGGTTACGAGGTTTTTGAAAGAAACGAGATTTGACATGAGATGAACCTTTTTGACAATTACATTGACATGCAAAATTTTTGTCATTTACCCTGACACTTTGTTTGGTCAGCGGTCTGGGTGAAGAATTAAGCTTGTGACCAGTCCGAGAGAGGTGGGATCTGATAGTGGTGCTGTTGGAAAAAGTGCGTTTTGTAGGTGTGTTAGCACGTGTAGATCTTTTGGAAAAAGGTTTCTTAAAACTTTGATGTGATTTCAAAAGTGTTGGAGTTGGTAAAATCCATTTCCATTTTGGGTCATCTGAGGAATAGATTTGAAAACCATTGCTTCGAAAAGACTTTACTTTCTTTTGGGTTGTGTCAAATGTTTTTGAAATGGTTTTAGAAACTGTACATTCCCTTTTGTTTGTTTTCTTGACTGAAGAGTTTTTTGAAAGATAATTTGAGAAAACAAGCTTTTCTAGACTCTTAGATTTTGGAATTTTGACTCGTTTTTTGTTTTTTGAAAAAATTTCCCGGTTTTTGTCACGGGATCGAATTTCCTCTTTGAAAGCCTTTTTTGCCTCGGTTTTAGGAGAACCGCAGTCATTGAGGTTCAGCTGCGGTTTCCTGGAAACCATTGATAATTTTTGAAAACGAGGACTTGATTCATCCGAACTAGAGGGTTCAGGTTTTTGAGAGCACTGACCCACTTCAAAGTTTTCAATGGGTATTTCATAATGAATTGGCTGAATGGTCATAGTGTTTTTGACTATGGTATGCGGTAAGGAAGACTAGACTACCGCAGAGTAAGTCTGATTTGAGACTTTTGTGGGACACTTGATGATAGGCAGATGGGCAGACTGTGGTTCATGACTGCAGTGAGAGATACTGCAGTCTGAGAGCAGAGTTCGAAATCCATTGAGACTTCGGGTCCTTCCACAACAATTTCCTCATCAACAACTGATGAAGTCTGAGAGTTGGGATAGATTGTGCCATAGATATGAGTTTGATCACATGAGTGACCCGAAAATTCAGGAACAATTTCCTCTATGACACAATTGTTACTCATATCATGAAGTCTACCGAAATGAGCTTTGATGTCTTCGGGAAAGGTTTTGTCATTGATTGGGAAATGGAACTCTCGGTCCGGAGGGACATAAAGTCGATCTTTATTAAACCGGGGTGAGGAATCCTTTGCGGTAGGATATCCATTGGACCAACCCCAATTATAGGTGTTATCTACGGTTCCATTGTTCACAAGATTTTCAATAGCTTGATTTTCATTAAAAAGTTTTTCTATTAAAAGATTTAAACGTACAATTTCACTATGAGCTAAATCTCTTTGATTCAAAGCTATTTCTAACTGTGTTTCACTCAACATTCTTGCGTCTTTCTCTAACTCTAAGTCCTTTTCTAACATAGCTACTTTGAGTCTTTTGTTATCCAGTCGTCCTCTTACGTGAAACATCTCTTGGGACGCTATGTTTTTCTCATCTAGAGCTTTGTTATAGTCTGTAAGGACGGCAACACATGTGTCATTAAGGTTGTCTATAAAAGGTTGACAGTCATGCATGCTATAATTAAGAGTTTGGACCATTAGTTTTACCTGTTCGACGATGCTTAGAGTCCCATCTTTTGCCATGTAGCAGTAGTTCTTTTCTAGCTTTGTAGACCCATCCTCGTCCGCAGTTGCCAGCATGCAAATCTTGCCTTTTCCCTTGACGTTGTTGATGTCTTCATCCTCATCTCCGGATGACAAAACTTGATGGTACCTTTTCACATGAGCTACGTATGCCCTTGCTTTCTCCTTTTCTTCCAATTCTTGAGCCATTCTAAGATAAAATGCTCTATCTTTCACCATATTAGCTTTGCAGTCTTTGGCAAAGTGATTCTCCTTGTTGCAGTTGTGACAGATTACAACATCACTTTTATCTTCTGAAGAGGTACCGGAGTCAGTTGGATTGGTAGGCTTCGGTGCCTCTTTGGGTTGAGTGGTCTGAGGTTGCGGTGGTGGGTGAGTGTTTTTGGAGAAACGTGAATGATTTTTTTGAGGATTGAAGTTGCGGTTAAAGGGAGGTTTGTTGAATTGTTGATTTTTACGAAAAGAAGAGGGTGGTAGCCGGTTGAACTGTTGGCTAACAAGAGCAATAACATTCTGAAATTCTTCTTCATCATCATACTCTGAGTCAGCTTCGTATGACTGAGGAGGATTGTCATACGAGGGAGAGTAAGATTGAGTATGTGGAGCTTGTACTATGAGGGCAAGTGGTCCTCCGAAGTCAGCACAATCCTTGAGTACGGTAGATTCTTATGCTTGTAATTCACCATAGATCTTGTAGAGAGATAACTAATGGATATTTCTATCTACTTGAACTATCATTTTAGTAGTCGTCCAGTGTCTTCCCAAACCATTTAGAAATTGAAGATTTGTTTCATGGTTGCTTCGAACCGTGCCAGCATTGGATAACTTAGTGACAATCAGATTGAACCTTTTGAAGGAGTCTTCCAAACTTTCGCCTGCATGAGCCTTGAAATTGTTGAACTCATTGAGTGCGGTTGTGAGCTTCTTATCTTGAACTTGTTCTGTACCCTCATATAAGTTTTTGAGAACATCCCCAGATCTCTTTTGCTGATTTGCAGTTTATGATAATGTCGAAGTTGTCGGGAGCAACTCCACAGGAAATCTCATAAAAAGGAACAGCGTCATTTTCCATTTTGTCGAGATCATCTTTGGTGGGACGATTCAGGGCTGGTTGACCTCCTCCTAGTCTGGCTGTGGCGCCGTCGGTTTGAACTGATGTAAGAACAGGGACATGTGGCCCTTCTTCTACAGCGTCATACATCTCTTCCAAGTCTCCTTAAGTATCTTTCCATTTGTTTGAGACCAGTGATGATATTCGTTTGCCACCAATATTAGGGCTCTACTAGAACCACCAACACTGTTGGAAACATTGAGAGATAATGCTTGTGCCATATTTCCGTGTTTTGAAAATATTTTTGTTTTTTTTTAAGAAATGAGCTTCAGTGGTATAGAAGGCTTTTTGAAAATCATAGTTTTGCTTCAAAAGGCAACCACTTTGGCTCTGATACCAATTGTTGAAAGAAAAACTTGAGAAACACACTTGAACAAACATTAGAACAAGTTTATATTGCGGAAATTAAAGTTTAACTCAAAGGATCATAATGCTCAACAATAATAAAAGTTATAGTTAGATTGTTAGATAATTAGGTGCGGAAATATAAGGAAATATAAATGACAGCAAGTATTATATCAAGTATACACTTAAGTTGATTATTAACAAGGAATGCAATCAGACCAAGTTAGTAAGTGAGATCAAACTTAGTGATTAAGTCAAGACTGACTTGCTCCGAAGGAGAGATGTAGATCTATTATATTTCATATTACGTTTTTAGAGATTAGAGAGTAAGAAGTACATGAGAGACTAAGTTATGAATATCAAGAGATATGAGATTCAAGATGCGTAGATAGATAGATGTGTATTTTTCAGAAAGAGAGAACTCCTTTTTATAGAGTCTCAAAGATTACAAAGAGTCTTATTTGTTTAAAGTTGCCATGCAAGGCACATTGGATAAAAGAAAGTACAATAAGAGAAACAGATAAAAGACTAAGACTAAAAGTTGATGACGACTACTGCGGTTGCTGAACTTGACTGCGGATGAGAGAAATGGTTGTGGATAAGGAAGTGACTATGGTTTGGATAAAGTTTAAGAGGGTCACTTCTATGTTTCAACATAAATTACAAAAAAATATAATAAAAAATGAAATATTCATTAAACTAAACAAAAGTACCTTCACATTGCACAATACGTCCTTCATTGACATCATCTTTCAAACCAGATTTTTCCATATCAGCTGCAATAACATGACAAAAATCGTATAAATGTAAATTAATATAACATGTAGTTTTATGAGGTGACTTTGTTATTTCTCATTAATTAAATAAACATTTAGATTGACAGGATAATACATTCAGATATCTCATCATTCTCATCCTCATCAACAAGAGCTAATTGTCTCTTTCCTCCATTCTGATACAATTATGCTTTTCTGCCTTTTGTCTGAATACCTCCCTTCCCCTTTGCGGTCCTTTATTCCTCAAGATTAAGTCACCCATAGTAGTCTTTGCTCTAGATTGTTTTTCTTTTGTTGCATTCGAAACCAATGGTTACTTATTCGAGACATTTGGAGCAATCGCCCGACGTTGCCTTGTAAAATTAGCAAGTCTATTCATGGACATTGGTGCAATATACTCTGGACGATGTTGCTGTAACAAATTTACTTTTCATTATTGAAGATCAACATCAAAATAAAAAAATTAAAGATTTGCTAATCTGATTACCTTTTTGGATACTTCAACATTTCTAGAAACTTTGTGGTAATCTCCATCATTACCATCACACAAATCAGGAATATAGTCTGAATCTCTAGCACCAGTATATGTTGGTTTCACTTGCTTTTTCTTTGGTTTTTCACTTTCTACCAAACTTGTCAAAGAATTTGAAATCTTTTAACTCCCAAATCTTTTAGTCTTGCTGGGTTTTCTTAAATCCTTAAAAGTCTATTCTTCTCAAAATCATTCATTTCTTTTTGTGCACTTTGATCTTGCTTGTTTTGTTTTCCCATCACCGGCCTGCTCAAAAGTGAAATTATCAATTTAATTTCAAAATACATAATACTAGCATTGTACTATCACTTACATATAATATTTTCCTGCAGTCATAAAATTAAATCAAAAAGAGAAACAAGAACCTGACAAATAAGGCATAATGCAACTCTGGTACTTATGATTAAACTGAATCGAAAGGAACCTGCAAAACAACCACACATGCACCTCTTGTTCAGAATCTAAAAAAGGTAAAAAATAAAAAACATGAAAATTATTCCAACAATATAAACATCATATTATAAAATAAAATCTATCAAATATAGAAAAAACCTTTGTTTTTCAGTTACCTTCAAAACTAAACTTTCACAAAGTATTGACTTATTATCACTTGCTTATTATTCAATGCACAAAATGACATAAAATAATTTAGGTAAACACAAAACGTTTTAACCATTAAACTAACTTATTACAAAAATGTAAAAGAAAAGTAAATATTAATATTAGTGTTGGTATCTCAATGAGACTCGTCTTCTTCTGCTTCCATCCAATCCCATAATGTATTGTCATAATCAAAATCGCCTCCACTATCACTATTAGTTTCATCAGCCCCATCTAAATTTGTATTTGTGTCAGCTACAAGAGGAGGCATATCGTTTATTGACAATTGAATCTCATGTTCACTAACTTGTTGCAAAAGAATTTAACCTATCTTCATTAGGCTCGGGCCAATACGAGTCACGAATAGTTTCACTACTTTCATCTTCGAGGTCATAGATATCTCTAGGAACCCTATTGAGAAGATAATGCAAAAAGTATTCTATAGGATCTGCTACATAGAACACCTGGTTTACTTAGGAAGGCATGACAAAAGGATCGTCTGAAGAGAAAAATTTGTTGAAATTAACACATGTTAATCCATAATCATCTTTCTCTACTTGGTACCACTCACAACGAAACAAAATAACTTTGAACTGCGACCAATAGTCGAGTTCAAGTATATCCAAAATTCTACCATAGTAGTCAACATTCCCTACAACTAGATTTTTGTCTCTAGAACTTGCAAGCTAGGAGTTAAAGCCGTACTAGAAACACCACTATTTTGAGTATGGCATTTAGCATCTCGTGATTTGTTATGAAACTTATATCCATTGACATAATACCCGTAATATCTCTTTGAAATAGGACTAGGATCCTTAGCAAGCCAAAAAGTATGATCTGGAACATTATTGGTTTTAACTTTCTCTTTTAACTAGTCGGTGAACTCATGACTATGGTTTTGGGCACGTGCCCATCGACTTTTCTGTGGTTGAGTGTCAATATAAAATTTATGCTCACCGCTTCATTACATAGACCAAAGAAAATTAAATGTGAATTAAGTTATATAATACATTTAATTTGAAGAAATGAGATGTTATAAATTGGTTACTTACTTGATATATTCAACAACTTGTGCACAATCAGAACTGAATAAGGCATAACAATGTGCTTGTTCCCTTAAAATAAGATCTAAAGTTATAAGATTCCCTTTTCTTCGGTTTATACCTCCAATAGGATGACCCTTATTGAAAAATATTGGTCCACCGGACTCATGTTCTTCATCCATATCATTGACATCTTTTGAACCCCTATTAAGTCTTGTTTGTACTCCATCATGCATATAGCGTGAGCAAAAAGTCAAACATTCTTCAATCAAATATCCTTCTACTATGGATCCCTCTGGACGACTCTTGTTTCGCACATATGACTTCAACTTGCACATGTATCTTTCCATAAAATACATCCATCTATATTGAATAGGTCCTCCTAGTCTAACTTCGTTTACTAAGTGGTTTACTAAGTGGATAGGTAAGTGCACCATTATGTCAAAAAACTTTGGCACAAATGTTTTCTCAAATTCACACAATATTTGAGTTATTTCTAATTGTAATCTGTCAACTTCCCCATGCCTAATTACCTTGCTACACAAACTACGAAAAAAAACACCCAACCTAATCAATGGGATTGCAAGATGCTTTGGTAATGATTTTCTCACTGCAACTTGAAGCAAGTAATGCAAAAAGATATGAGCATCATGACTCTTTTAACCCGAAAATTTCTTTTCTGAGGAATTACACATCGGGTAATATTAGATGCACATCCATAAGGCAACTTTGCCTCCTTCGAAACAAGACAAAAAAATGGCTTTCTCCTTTGATGACATTGAAAAACATGCATTGTGGAATATAACATTCTCATCGTCTTCAGAAAGTTCTGGTTGAAGTCTTTATTTAATGTCCAACTGCAAAAGGTAAAATCGAGCTTTTACATGATCCTTCGACTATCCACTAATATCCAACACAGTCCCTACCACGTTATCAGTTATATTTTTTTTATATGCATCGGATCAAGATTATGTCGGCATTCAATAAATTTCCAATAGGTAAATTAAAAAAATATTGAGCTCTTTTTCCATGGGTAATTGCTATCATTTTTTTCTTTTGTGTCTTTCCAAAGATATTTTGAAAGCTAGACAACTCTCTCAAAGTTGCATCTCTTGATAGGGGTTTTGGAGAAGGTATTTTTTCAGTTTTACCATTGAAAGCACTCTTATTACGTCGCCAAGGATGTTTAGCATCTTAAAATGATCCATATAGCATGCCTTATTACTATGCTTCAGTTGGAGTGAACTGGTTTCATGATTACAACATGGACATGCAAATTTTCCTTTTGTTTTCCACCCGGACAACATGGAATATGCCGGAAAATCACTAATTGTCCATGTTAAGGCTGCATACATTCTAAAGGTTTCATCCTTATATTTATCATGTGTCTCTAACCCATCAACCCATAATTCTTTGAGCTCCACAATTAAAGGATGGAAATAAACATCAATGTTATTACCTGATGAGCCGGGTCCACGAATTAACAAAGACAACATAAAGTATTCGGGTTTTAGTGACATCCATGGAGGCAAATTATAGTTAACTAACACAACATGCCAAGTGCTATGAGCAATGCTCATTGTTCGAAACGGATTAAATCCATCACTTGACAACCCTAACCTTACATTTCTAGTTTCTTTTGCAAATTAAGGATACAAAGAATCAAATTTCTTCCAACTTTCCCCATCTGTAGGATGTCGTAAGTTTCCATCATTAGGACGTCCTTTGTCATGCCACATCATATATTTAGCTGTTTCAGAGCACATGAAAAGTCTTTGGAGCCTTGGTTTTATAGGAAAATGACACACAACCTTAGCAGGAACATTTGAATATTTTTTGGAATGCTCATTGACATGTTTGCTCCCTTGTTTCTCATCCATTTGTTTCCACTTAGAGGTATGACAAATGTGGTAGGTATCATCTTGTTCATGATCCTTCCAGTATAGCATACAATCATTCGGACACGCATGAATCTTTTTGTAATCAAGCCCCAAGTCCTTCACGATATTTTTAGCTTGTGCAAAACTAGCAGGAAGTTTTGCCTCTAGAATCACCTCTGGGAAAAGTTGTTATAGATCATTAAATGCTACATTACTTAGCCCATGAAGCGTCTTGTAGAGAAAAAAGTCGGATGATGAAAAATAGCTTTGTGAAATTTTTACAACCTGGGAACAACTCTTACTTTCCTTCTTCCACCACTTTATAGAACTTTTTGGCCTCTTCATTTAAGCCTTCTTGCACCATACCTATTTCTTATGCCACATCTCTAAACCTATCATGCAATAATTCATCAAAATTGCCGTGCATACCAGCTCCATCATCGTCTATGATGGTATTATATATAGATTGTGAGGAGTTTTCTCCATGAAAAACCCATACATAGTAGTTTTCTACAATCTTGTATCCTTTTAAATGATCAAATACTTTATACCTTCAATACCAATAACGGTTCTTACACCGTTTGCAAGGACAACAAATTTGACCACCCTTTACCACCTTAGCAAACGAGGCATTAAGAAATTCAATGACACCAGATTCAAACTTAGGTAACCGTCTAGGTAAATACATCCAATCTTTAACATTCCCCATGTCTCTCATACCCTGAAGTTAATAGGAACATTTAACTATAGTAAAGAATAAAGATCTACTAGTTAGAAGTCAAATTGTTATGGGTAAGAAACATCAGAAGAACCTAGAAGAAGAACCTAGACGGTTCCAAGTTTGGCTTTTGGAAGTTTTAAGATATTTATTATGGGTTAATGCAATAAATAGAAATGTGTATTTATTGTATCTTTATTAATGGAGTTTTGAAATTTTTGCTAATTGTCAAGCAAAATAAAAAAATATGGGAGTGTACAACTCCTAATGTAACGACACTGCTATGCATCAGGTTTAGCCATGGATTTTATTTGGGGGTATTTTGGTAAACTCGGTGAAATAGGTTTGCATGTGTAGGGCCAGTTTTGGTATTTTTATTCTGAACTTTGTTACAACAAGATACTTACAGTGTAATAAGTAGCGATTATACATGGGTCTTCGTGTGATTCTCAGTTACAAATGTGACCCTAATTTTCATAAACATTATATGACCATTTTCATATAAGTGGACTCTTTGATTATTAGTATGACTGTTGGTTAAATATCATTTTCACATTGTTTTAGTTTTGTTGCAATTATTGGATTATGGATTTGAGGTTATAAAGTTTGATAAATCCACATATTCAATTATTCCTAGCCTTTTTTTAACCTTTTCATTTCCAAACTCAAATAATTTTGAAAACTCCATTAATATCAAACACATTGATATGTTTGCATGATTCATGATTCTTGTTTGTCGTGTTTCATAAAATCATTAAAGACATACTTATGCATATGCAACTTGGCTAAATGTTGGATTGGCTCTTTCTAAATTCAGGGCTGATGCCATGGAATTAAAAAGTTGCATAAATTTGGATCTGATGTGTTTAAAAGAAAAGTTGTAGGTTTCAGAAGCTCTGTAGATGGAATTATGGTTCAAAGTTGTAGGCCGTAAACCATGTTTTGAAAACCGGACCGGACCGTGCCGGTCTAATCAGGAACCGGTCCCGAGTCCTGGATCCGGTTCTTAGAGTTCTTAGAGGCCAAAAACCGTTCGTCATCTGTGCCGGTAAAAACTGGTCCGGTCGAACCAATAAAACCGGGAATTTTAAATTTGTTTTTTTTTTTTTTCATTTTTTGTATTTTTTTATATACTCAAATTAATAATAACTTAATTATGATACTATTCGATTTGTCAGGTTTTTGAGATCGATTAGACAACT